GATGGAGGTTTAAATGAGAGAGACAGAGAATGAAGAGGGGGCAAAAGAAGGGTGAGAGAGAAGACAGAGCAGAGGTGTAGGAACGATAGAGAGAGAGACAGAGAGAGAGAGAGAGAGGGAGAGACAGACAGAGAGACAGAGACGGACAGACAGACAGCGGCAGAGGGGGGGTGGGGGGGGGGCGTACTCTTATGCTTTGCATGCCTTAGCGGTTAGACCATTGACCACGCGTCCTCGAGAGGACGGAGCATTGTTCCCACAGGACCGATCACCGATGGCCAATCGTTCCTTCCGGGGCGTACTCATTTGTTGCTTGCCTTAGTCATTTGACCATTGACCACGCGTCCCTTTCGAGACGGAGCACCGTTCCTACACCTACTAGAGACACCACCAACATTTGGGAGCTCTTTACGTTTCTGCCACAAACTACATAAAAATTTCTTGCACATCATATCCCCGTCCTCTAGGGCCTCTTGTGCCCACCATCTATCCCCAATTATCGCGATCGTTTTTTCGCTGTTGTCTAATTTACCAAACTTGTCCATGTCACACCCTCTCTGTCTCATTTCCTCCTCGAGATCCTCTCTTTCCTTCCTGTACAACTCACATTCCCCAACTATGTGGGGTCTACTCTCCTCCGATTTGCCACATGGACATGTGTGTCTATCCTCCTCTTCCTCTCTCCTACGGCTGGTATACCTCTTCCTCCGTTCTGGCAAGTCCAGATCGCCTACTCGAAATTGCAATTTCAGCTTTTTCGCATAGTCCATGGGGCCGTCCAAGTACTTCTTCATCCCTATCCCTTCTTTCAACTTCCCGTATATCTCCAAGTGGTCTTCCCTTCGTACCTTCTTCCGAAGGGTTGTCTCCTCCCTACTCTCTAGCATCTCCTTGACTTTCGTCTTGAACCCCCCGAACCCTTCCGTGTCCAACGTCTCCTCCTCGTCTCCTATCTCCTTCCAAACCTTCTCTACCACCTTGTCCCATCTGATTCCCTTCTTCCCTGGAGTCGCTTTTCCCCAAGCTGCCTCGTCAACCATGGCTGGTAGTCTATCGTCCGACATTCTACTTACCTTGTACTGCCAATTCAACTTCTGCATGTCTCTCTTTGTTTTAAGAGAGTACATTCCCAATTCTGCTCTCAATACAGTGTTGCTCGTTGTACTTGAACATCCTAGTATTTTCTTGGCCGCTGCCATCTGCACCGTTTCCAGCTGCTTGACGGCCTTTTCGTTACCTTCCCATATCTCTCCTGCATACTCTAGCTTAGGTACAATCACATTCAAGAGAATACACCTCTTAATCCTAGTGTCTAGGTGTGGGTCCGTAAGGATCTCGTCCATCTTGCCTATCTGAGCTTTACCCTTCCCAATCAACTTCGCTATGTGTGCGTCCCATGAGCACTCCTTCGAAATCTCTACTCCCAGGTACGTATACTTGTCTACTACCGGTAGTTCTTCCTCCCCTCATTTCCATTTGAATTCTACGGGATTTTTCTTGTCTTCGTTACAGACCACTACTGCGCATTTTCCTACGTTCGCCGACAGTCTCCATTTTCGGGTGTATCCTACCGCCGCATCTATTTGTTCTTGCAACCCTTCTGGTGTTTCGGATACCCCCACGAAATCATCTGCAAACATCAGTCCGGACACACTCTTTCCCTCTACTTGGACTCCCTGTCTTACTGCTTCAACCGCCCTTATCAAATCGTTGATGTAAATCTAAAAAAGAGTGGGTGACATCGTACAGCCCTGTGCGACTCCTTGGAGTATATCCACGTACTTCGAAATTTCCCCATCCAACATCACCGCACTTCTTGTGCATTCTGTCATCTTTTTCAACATCCTCCACATTTTCCCCCGGATGCCGATGTCCCACATCTTTTTCCACAATCCATTGCGCCATACGGTGTCGTAGGCTTTTTGTATATCGAGGAAGAAACAGTATGTCGTACGCCCGGGGTGGGGGGGGGGTACTCACAGTCGTGCATGCCGTAGTCCTTTGACCATTGACCTCGCATCCCTACAAAGCCGGGACGGAGCACGCCTGGTCCTCACCGGACCAGGCTCTCACCACCAAGCGCCGAGAGCAACATTACCAAGCGCCGAGAGGGGGGGGAGAGAACTGACAGTGAGAGAGGAAGATCGTGAAAGTGAGGGAGAGAGAGGTAGACGATGACAGATACGCCCGGAGCAGAGCTCAATAAGGGCTGTCAGAACGTTTGGAACATCCGCCGTGAACCCCTATATTTCTGAGGTTGCATGTACACCGCCTGCAAATTTCTTCTCAACACTCGCAAAGTTCATCTCATTCGGCTAGGGCCTGATCTAACACCGCTCCGCTCGTTCGGCGCACCCCGGGTTGGTCTTCCTCTTGTCGCGTACAACGCAGCTGAAAGAGCGAGAACGTCAGCTCGCACGAGCGTCTGCCATAAAGGATGAACTCCGAGAGGTATGCATACGGCCCACAAGTAAATCTGGTTATGCTATAAGCTAGATCTAAGAGCGAGCGGTACCTGATACAATGCAATGTACGCGCAAGCCGTCGGAGTCACCTTCTACATACAGTGTGTCGTGTGCGACAGGGGATAAGGGTGTGGGTGATCGTCCGCCCAACCTTTCGCACCAAGTGATTGTCGTTTGGAGGGTGTCGGCCTCTCTCTGTTTAACACCAAAAACCATTTCCTCAACGAGAACGATAGCAGTTGCCCGCCTCGGTCTGTCGGGGCCCGAAGATCACGAGGAGTACTCGCTCGTTTGATCCCGTTCGACGCGCTGGAAAACCAATCCCCGCGGCACCAACCCTACAAAGGTGGAGAAACTCCGGGCCTTGGACAGAGCGGAGGCCTGGGACAAGGAGCAGGCGAAGCGCGAGGCGAGGGAAAAGAACCGTCTCAACAAGGAGGAGAACGATCGCTTGATATCGTTGAAGGCGGCCGAGCGACGGGTGAGATCAGCCAGTAGCACGGCTTGTCGACCGAGAGAGAAGAGGCGAGACGGCCGGCTGCACGCTCTATTGCGCACAGAGCGACAGCGACAGCACAATACTTACAGCGTGTTGGCGCGCACGCTGTTGAGAATATAGCCGTATGGTGCGACGGCGGCTAAGAGAGCCAGGCAACAACGCCAAAGAACAGGCCTTGTCTCGACGCGTTGGGGAATAACCGGGCGCTCGAGCTGCAGCCGGCGGCCCCCTTGACGAACCCCCCCCCGTCCCCCCGGTGGCTCTTCTCTGCCCCGTTTCCCTATGCACTCCTCCTCACGCAGGAGAGCTTGCGTGAGGAACACCGGATGCAGATTGAATACTCCGCCAAGATGGATGCTGACGAGGAACAGAAAGGCGCGGAGATGCGCAAGGTTAAAGACCGCCAGGTAGTTGCGGACTCAGCTGGTGTCTGCCGTGATAGCAAGCAGCATCTCAGGTTCTCGGCCTTCCTTGAGCAGTACAAGCAGGGATGGACTGCTCCAAGGTATTCCTCCGCCGGCCGTGCTACGCTCACAGCGCTCGAGGCCGCGAACTTCCTTGGCCAGTCTCTGGAAGAGTTACCCTTGTGCCTACGCTGTTGAAACGCGGCACCGATGACGTACATATGCTTCCGCTAAGAAGGGCACGGAGTTTACGGACCTCGCGGCCGGCTTTACCCTGGCCGAGCAACCCTTGAAACAGCAGCTGCCTGCTATAGTTATGCTGCCGCCCCGTTTCCCGCATTGCCTAGCCTAGCCTCGCCCATCGCAATGACGGATGTTCCCCGGTGTTTGTCGGTTACGGTGGTCCACGACAAAACACTCGCGATAAACAGACGAAGATCAACGAGCGCATGACGAAGATCTACGACCGTTTCAAGGCGCAAGAGGATTGCACCGAGAAAAGAGTGGAGGCGGAGCAGCAGCTAGAGATGGAAACGGACGCTCGACGTGCGCAGGAAAAGGAGATGAAGCGAGTGCACGTAAGCAACAAATATCCCGCGTACACAGCGATCACACGAACGGTTGATTAGTCAATCACGCGTACATGCAATCGTGTGCCACAAAAACACTGACCACTGGGTACAGTAGTAGACTAGTCTTGCTAGAGCGAGGAGATGTCGCGGTGTTCAGAGTAATTGAATTTCAGTCGCTCAACTCGTTTGCCATTTTCAGGTCGCGCCCCCCCCCACCTCGGTCGCTTACCCCAGACACTATCTCCTTCGCCATGACTTTGCAGCTGCTGCGAGAGCAAACGCAATTTTTACGGCAGCAAGAACGCCTCCGACACCATCGGCTGGCCGAAGAACGACGGGAAGGACTCGCCGATGCGGCAGAGATGAAAAGAAGCAACCGAGAGGCCTACCTTCAGGAGAAAGCCAACCAGCAAAGGATACGCGCGGAAGCTCTTCGCGCTCAAAGGTATGTTCAGAGAGAGAGTGTTGGTGTCTGTCCGCGCTCTGTGCGGTCGTGAGAGCGTTGCCCCGGTGGACTGCGCAAATAGTGTCTATAAACGCACTTGTTCGTCGCCGCTCGAAATGTATTCAATGAACGGGTGTATGCTTAAGTGTTGTTAGCGGTGGATCTACAAGTATATGCTGTTCAGTAAGCCGGCGGGGGATTTGTATACAATTTGTATTCCGAGGCGATTGGTGGTGATCGTCAGCAGTCTAAAAAAGCACAGTCTAGAACAAGATTGTCTATAGTCTACTACATACAGGCAATGGTTTGGATCACCGCCGGCAAAGGAAACGAACAGCAACAATAATAGTAGTACGTAGTACCGACACGCGCCAGCCAACTAATGAGGAGAACGCGTGCTCAGATCAGAATCAATCCACTAGACGAAAGCCCTCATAGTCGAGATGTTGGGTTGCCCCGACAGAGAATTAAGAAATTGGGTTTGGGAAACCGAGGAGCCCCTTCTTCGTCGTTGTCGCAATCTGGGTCGGTTCACGTCTTGTGGAGATAGACACCAATGGTTGGTTTATCGCACCTTGCATGGTGCGTCCTTGGCACCTTCGATCTCTTGCAGGGCTTTCTCTCCGTTCTTCATGCATGGCATAGTCTTTGCATGCATAAGAGATTCGAATGGAAACGCCCGAGAACCACGACCGTTCGCGGGCGGGGTTGTCGAGTTTAGACAAGAACTTGCGAATGTAGCAGCAGTGTATGTAGTGGGAGGGAGTCAGCTCGGAGCCTTCCAGTTGACCATCGTCCAGACACAGGCCGGGACCATCTCCCGGTAGATTGCAATACATGGACTAAATTTTTAATTTTTCTCCTTAGTTTCCAGACGTCAATTTCAATTGGCAAAGATCGAAGGCTATTCACCCATCCATATCACAATAAAAAATGTAGTTGTTACATGGAATGTATCATTAAGTATATATGGGGGGTGTTTGATTTAATTACTAATTGTTTTTAGGTTTGGGGAGCATGTATGTAGCGATTATTTCATGGTACTGCTGCTGTAAATACAAACCCAACCAACCAAATTGCTAATGTTAGTGTTGCTCAGTAACCTACTAGATGTTGTACGATAGGAGAGTTCGTTCGCCTGAATTGTGCACCTGATTGCAAGGAGCCATAGAGTTCGTTCGCCTGAAATTTGAATTTTGCACCTGATTGCACGGAGCCTAAAATATTGAGAATCTCGAGTCCGCAGCGAACGGTATGTCGCCTTTTTTTTTTTCTTGGAAGTACGACACAACGAATCCATCTCTATCTCCTCAGCTAGCTGCATTTTACGGAACAGTTGGTTCACCGGATTCTCACTTCGTGTGGCCCGAACCGCGGACAAACACACACACGCGAGAGTGGTGAGATGGTGAGATGCAATGCTACACGACACGACGAGCGAAATGGTGAAATGCGGTTCAGCTGTTGTTGTTGTTCACACGAAACGGAAAATCCAACGGTGCGCTTGGGTGCGCTCAAACATGTTGTTGGTGTTGTTGCTGTCCACGCTAATAATACCTGTGTGTGCAGGCTCCTTCAATTACAGATAGCTGACAAGGCCAAGGCAAGAGCCCTACTCCAGCAGGCGTCCGGTGGTTTGACGGCGGAAGAGCGGGCGCTTAACCGTACCCTCCTCGGCCGGGCGGCCGTAACTCTGGGGTTTGCTTGATGAGGATATGAGGATCCAGCCGCATCAGCGGAGGCACTCCATCAAGTCGAAAAAACTGACTCCTTGGGGATGTCCGGCTCTTTTTAAGAGTTGTTGTTGTTGTTGTTGTTGTTGTTGTCTTCACATTGAAAACCGTTCCGATCTCTCTCTACCCAGTACCTTCATATGTCCGTACTAATCCAACACTTGACGCGGTCGATTCCCGTGGTCACAGGCTAACTTACACCTAATGAGGTACGCTCAAACGAACTGGCCCCGAGGGGTCCGCAAGTCAATGAATGGTAGAAATCAACGACAGATACGGAGATTCCAGAGAAAAGAGAGACACACGCACGGAGAGCTTTTAGGGTCGCACTTCCGAGCGTCAGCACGTTGACTTTGGTTGCCCAGCAGGAGCACCACACTTTTAATCCTTCCGAAAGGGGCGAGGGTGTAGATACGACGCACGACCGCCTTCCAGGGCACGCATGCAACAAGCAGCATGTATGTAGACGATGTAGACTATATATTTTTTCATCATTTTCGGTTTGTGAAGATCCATCCATCCATACACACCGCAGCAGCAGTGCATGCAAATGCTAAATGCTCTCTCGCCGTGGGCCGCGCACAGCAGGTAACGCCAAGACTGTCCATGCGTACATGGACAGTACACATGACCAACATGTGCTCTTCAGACCGGGAGGCAACACAGTTTCCGCTAACCTCCGAAAAACTACCTCGTACTTGCACAGCAGTTCGCGAAAAATGCGTCTCCCGGCGGCTTGCGGCTTGCGGCTTGCGGCTCGCGGAGCTTTTTTTTACTGCTTGCTGTGGTAGGCTGTTGAGCTGATGAGCCGCTTCTTTATTTTTTCCAAAAAAATAAAAAAAAACACTTTTTTTTTTATTGAGGGGTGATGATGAGGTAAAAGAGCGAGAAAAGAGAGAAGGCCACACACACAACACGCCTTTTGCGTTCAAAACTACACGCGCACGCCATAGCGCGGCGGCGGCGGGCAAGAGGGCGCTTCACAGCAGACGCAAGCTCCCCATCTCTCCCGGAGAGAGAGAAAGAGAGAGAGAGAGAGAGAGCAGGAGGAGCGTCGGCGAGCATTTGTTCGGGACGCCGGGGGGGGGGGAAGAGGGAGAACGGGGCGCGGTGCGCAGACCGGCAAGCCACACAGGCCTTGAGAGGAGGTGAGATATCACACGGGGGCCGGCCGGGTTCCACCAAACTCCACACCCCGAAAAGCACAAAAGCGAACAGAATCTCTCTCACGTAGCGTCTCTCTCGCGTAGCGGGAAGCGCGGGGCAGTCTCGAAGGAACGGGGGCAGTCCTCCCGGCTCGGCGGCTCAGCGGCGCCGGCAGGCCCGCGCCGCGTTACGAGAAGAAAGAGTTTGGTGTGTTCGTAAATCGTCATTTTCGCTTTTTTGTTTCGGCCTTCGCAAGGTGTTGTTCGAGTTTATTTTTCCCCTCATTTTCCCGATGCGGGCGACCTACAAAAATCGAAACCACCACCACCACCATGTTGTTGCTTCCTTCCCCCTCAGCTGTTTATCCATGTTAGCTTCGGGCGATGCTAACCAAGTCGCATTGCTTCCCTGTCTTGTGTTGCTGGTGATTCGCGCAAAGCGAGGACAGGGGGTTTGTGTATTTTTCGCCTGCTTGTTGGAGACGAGGCGGTAATTTTTTCTCTGCGGGGGAGAGAAAGAAGGAAGAAGCAGCCGGGATTGGTCAACAACACCGAACCACTACTTGTTGTTCAGCAGAAACTCAGGGGAGGGGGGAGGGACTTTCGTTCGGGGCAAAACGCCAGAGCTAAAGAGGCGTGGAACGAGCGAGCGAGCGAGAGAAGAGGAGAGCTATACTACACGTCGCCCCGCGTGGCAGCAACCATAGCTAGCTAGCTATGGGTAACCTGTGCACCTCAACGAAGAGTGCCAACGACGGGCGGCGACAACCAGACTCGCGAAGAAAAGGGTCCGGCTCCACTACGGGCTTCTCCCCCACGGAGGATCTTGGGTACGTTCCCGAGCAAGATGACGGAGGCGGGGGCGCGGCGGCGGCGGCGGCACTGGGGGGGGCGGCATCAGCAACAACAAACGGCGGGTCGGTTGGAAACGGCCAGCAGGTGTCTGCATCACAGGTAGAGGTGAGCACGACGGGTGCGGCGGGGCTCGCGGGGTCGGGAGGAGGCGAGCGGAGTCGAGCGCGAGAGCGAACCTCGAACCTCAGCAACGGTTCCGGCGGCGAAGCCCCCCTCAATCGCAGCAGGCGCGGCACGTCTTCATCGGGAGCGACAGCGGCGGCGGCGGCGGCGGCAGCGGCGGCAGAAGCCGACGCAAGGAACGGCGTCTCTCCCGGAGCGGCGGCTGCTGCTGCTGACGACACCGGCGGCGGCGAGAGAGGAGGCGAGCGGGAATCATCGCGGCGGCGCCGCGACTCCGCCGGCAGGAGCGGCAAGGACGGCGAGGACCGCCGCCGCTCCTCCCGGCGCTCGAGGTCCTCGCGCAAGGACGGCCTCGCGAGCGTCGAGGGCAAGTCCTCCTCGAGGGGCCGAGAGAAAGGGTCCTCGACGGGGGGAGGAGGCGGAGGCTCCCGGCGGCGGGATAGCGAGCGCGGGCCTTAGAGGGACCAGAGCGGCCGGCGACCGCGGGCGGAGCGCTCGAAGGGGGAGATC